AAATCCAATATGGCCGCCACGGCCGCCATTTTGAAAACCTATTTCAAACTTAAAGTCAAGTTCTGCTGGGCGGATTGAACTGAAAGTTGGTAGGAATGATCTACTCATGGTCCTGACAAAGTGTTGTTATTTTTCAGGCCAATCAGAAATCCAATATGGCCGCCACGGCCGCCATTTTGAAAAACTATTTCAAACTTAAAGTCAAGTTCTGCTGGGCAGATTGAACTGAAAGATCGTAGGAATGATCGACTCATGGTCCTGACAATGTGTTGTTATTTTTCGGGTCGATCAGAAATCCAATATGGCCGCCATGGCCGCCATTTTGAAAAACTACGTTTGAGTTTGAGTAAAAAAAAATATCAGTTACGTTATAGCTTTTATTAAGTTAAACAAAATTGCTATTGTTAATTGTCAATTTCTGTAAACGATTTTCTACAAACATTTTGTTTATTGATACGTTTCATTTGTATTGCAGTTTTGCAACAAGAGGGGCTGCAGTGAGGCAGAAATAGATTCATTACTGCAGATGGTACATTCTGTCTCTGTACCAAAGAGCAACCTGCCGAAAACCTTTAAGGAAATGTAAGTCTACAACAACATCAAAATCGACCATTTCTAGTAATCTGACAATTACAATAAGTTCGTCTTTAACCCCACCCCCACCCCACCCGACCCACACCAACACATACACACACCAACACACACGCACACACAATAAAACTGTATTGGGAATGTAATTTGCTTCTTGCATACATAAATCTGTTTTTATTTTACAATGCATACCATTGACTGAGTAACAGTAAACTTTAAACAATAAAAGATGTCTAATCCGACATCTGATTTTTACGACATTCTGTTAAAACCGACATTGTACGGCATTCTTGCTGATCTTTAATGCGTTTATAAGTATCATAAGTGTTGAAATCCAAGTTTCGATACCTTTTTACGATTTAAAGTTTTAATTGGTATTCATGCAGTGGTAGTAATAACATATATACACATTGTATAAAAACAAATTACCATTAATCATATAGATCTATATAATCATATGGCTTATATTTGACGGATGCAGAATCACAGATGAACTTGTCATTGATCACAAAGAGCACTTAGTGTGTCCGTGTGGATTCTTTACCTTCAATAAAGAACAGTTATATCCTGGATGCAAACGGCCAAAGACAGAAGCTTACAGGTAAATTATAAATTCTAAACGGAACGCGTGCTGTAATGGTTTTTTTTGCTTTCCATATATGAACGTATAAACAATGAAAGTGACCTCCCATTATTAATAGATTCGGCTACTTCTAAAAATTAAACCCGAAATGTTTTATGAATAAAAAGAAACCAAAATGTTTTACAAATAAAAAGGAACCGTATAAGTTAGTAATGTGGGATCCACATATTTCAGTATTGCATGTTTTTATTTAGGGTGGATTATCTATATTGTATAGTTTGGTTGTATTTTTCCTAGTTTCAATGGCCGACTATTTTCTGAAATGAGAACTGGTCGTTAATAATAAATATGACGCAGTATATGCAGGCGACTTAACAGCTCGCCATAAACAAATCAAATGACGAGATTCGTGCCTAATCTATCTAAATGGGCAAATCTATGTGCTGTTCTTTTATGCGGAACAACAGGTACGTCCGTTTTTAAATGCAGCATATTTGTGTATAAATACAATTGCGGACCTGCATATGCAGGCCCTGTAAGGCTTTCTCAAGGCTCGCCTGAATTAAAGCAGCATCAGATTACTAGGTCCGACATTGTTTAATAAACGAACAACTGTGGTTCCACCGGTTGAACTACATATTTAAACGAAAAAACGGTCTAGTCCAACCATTTTGAAAGCGATAAATGGAAATGACTTTGGCGAGTGATTCAAGCGCCTTTGAGAGGTCCCCGCTCAATGCATCCGGGTATCTGATGAAAGGAAAACGAAGAAAAAAAATATGTCGTGGAGCTCAACCACGTCAACAGAAAGCTTTCAAGATTTCTAAAACGGAATGACATGCGAGACGTAATATCGTTAGGTCATCCAGTGTATTTGTCCTCTGAATAGTAATTAGTATGATTCAGATTTTTATGCGGTACTGTGTTGGGTCGGTCTGTTCACTGACACTGTACGGCATTCCAACAGCCCGGGTTTACAATGGGCTGGTGTGGTTATATTATGGAAACACGATGGGCATATATCCACTGCCACTGGTGTGCTAGCTGTTATCCATATCAGTATAAAGTATATATATTGGGCATTTGTAACGAACCTCTGTGATTTGTCTAATACTTACTCGTTGCATATGCAAAGGGGACAATAAAAATAACAATGGATTAATTTATTGTGTAAATCTAATTAACATAACGCTACCAGATTTAGTGTATGGCTTCTTAACAATAATTTGCTGAACAAATAATTTAGCCCCACAGTACCTAAATAGGACAAGAAATAGTTTTTCAATCACAGTCAATAATTGTATGCACATTGTATTTTAACAGTTTATTTTTAGCTCACCTGATCCGAAGAACCATGGTGAGCTTATGCCATAACGCAGCGTCCGTCCGTCCTTCAACTTTTCCTTTAAAACGCTACTAGTCATGAACGACTGAGCAGATTTTGACCAAATTTGGTCAAAAGCATCCTTGGGGGAAGGGGAACAAATGTTGTATAAATGGTGGGTCTGGCCACCCTGGGGGCTGAGGGGCGGGGCCCAATAGGGGAAATATAGCAAATTCTTTAAATTCCTTCTTCTTCTGTAGGAATGAAAGGATTTGTTCCATATTTGGTCTGAAGCATTCTTGGGTGAAGGGGAACCAATTTTGTATAAACCGTAGCTCTGGCCCCCCTGGGGGCTGAGGGGCAGGGCCAAACAGGGGAAATATAACAAATTCTTTAAAATCCTTCTTCTTCTGTAGGAATGAAAGAATTTGTTCCATATTTGGTCTAAAGCATCCTTGGGAAAAGGGAAACCAATCTTGTATAAACCATTGGTGTGGCCCCCCCAGGGGCCTGAGGGGTGGGGCCAAATAGGGGAAACATAGCAAATTATTCTTTAAAATCCTTCTTCTTCCGTAGGAATAAATGAAGTTGGTCCATATTTAGTGTGAAGCATCCTTGGGTACAGGGGAACCAATTTTGTATAAACTCTGGGTGTGGCCCCCCTGGGGGCTGAGGGGCGGGGCCCAATAGGGGAAATATAGCAAATTCTTTAAAATCCTTCTTCTTCTGTAGGAATGAAAGGATTTGTTCCATATTTGGTCTGAGGCAACCTTGGGTGAAGGGGAATTGATTTTGTATAAACTGTGGGTGTGGCCCCCAAGGGGCCTGAGGGGCGGGCCCAATAGGGGAAACATAGCAAATTATTCTTTAAAATCCTTCTTCTTCTGTAGGAATGAAAGGATTTGGTCCATATTTAGTATGGAGCATCCATGGGTAAAGGGGAACCAATGTTGTATATTTACATTTGGTGTGGCAAAGCCCTTCTATATTACTACTAAAGTACTTCCAATAGCAGCTTCATCTTATGAGACTATAACTGAAGTTGGTCTTTGCACCTCCGAGCGACTTAACAGTGTCACTACCGAACTTATCGGTATCTCCTGCTTTGATCCCTAAGACCAGCTGCCTGTCTCAAGTGTCTGTGAGATCAACAAACAATTTTACGCCTGGATTTTTCACCAATTCAACCTTCTCCGGTTGCACGATCAACATCAACAACATGCCGGACCACAAATATAACTCTGACCTGATTACTGCGGGCTTCCGTTGAGTGCGTGCGCCGGATATAGGTCGCAATAAAATCGGAAAATGTTTTACGACACTTGATTAATTACTTACAAAATGTCATTTGTTACTATTTATGAATCGAGAATATGATATATATATAAATCAAAATCAAATGAATTATTAACGAAAGTCTTTTCAATTTTGTATGGGAAATAGCGCATGGCGTCAGCTGTTATCTTTGTGCCGTTCTAGATACTGACCTGGCCTGGTGGTAATAAGCGGGAAATTTGAAATTTGGAAAAGTCATAAAAAAAATTTTGCGAATTCTCATTATGGAAAAATAAATATAAGCAATAACTGCATAGACGTGGCAGACCAACTTGTATAACTGCCACATGTGTCACGGACAAACTTATCATGGTGCGCAAGCGCGCACCATTCAGTTTGTCTGTGACACATGTGGCAGTTATACCAGTTGGTCTGCCACATCTATGCAGTTTATTGCTTAATTAAACGTAGGGTGTGGCCCCCTTGGGGGCTGAGGGGCAGGGCCCAATAGGGGAAATATAGCAAATTCTTTAAAATCCTTTTTTCTAATGTAGGAATAAAAGGATTTGTTCTGAAGCATCCTTGGGTGAAGGGGAACCAGTTTTGTATAAACCGTGGGTCTGGCCCCCCAGGGGCCTGAGAGGCGGGGCCCAATAGGGGAAACAGCAATTAAATTATTCTTTATAACTCTTCGTCTGTAGGAATGAAAGGATTTGGTCCATATTTGGTGTGGAGCATCCTTGGGTAAAGGAGAGCCAATTTTGTATAAACGGTGGGTGTGGCCCCCCCTGGGACTTGAAGGGGGGGGCCCAATAGGGGAAATATAGGTAAAACCTTTATAATCCTTCTTCTACCATAGGGATTAAGGGATATTATCCTAATTTAGTCTGGAGCATCTTTAGGCAAAAGGGACTCAATTTTGTATAAACAGTGTGTCTGACCCATCTGGAGGCAGAGAGGTGGGGCTCAATAGGGGAAATAGAGGTAAAACCTTTAAAATCCTTCTTCTACCATAAAGATTAAGTGATTTTATCCTAATTTAGTCTGGAGCATCAATGGGCCAAGGGGACTCAATTTTGTATAAGCAGTAGGTGTGGTCTCCCAAAGGGCAGAAGGGCTGGGCCCAATAGGAGAAATGGAGGTTGTTTGAAGTTTGTTCTCACTATATCTCAAGTACTGTATGGATCTTTCACAAATTTCATATGTACTTACAGCACCTACTTCATACCAATTATTTTAAACATATTCAGGTGAGCGATACCGGCCCTGTGGGCCTCTTGTTTAAAATTGAATCTTCCTGAAAGTGATTTTCACCTGAAAATGTACATTTTATGATGTGCTGTTTAATGTTGGATATCAAAGCAAAACAGACATAAATGAACATTGCATGTAATCACTAAAACAAATTTTGGGCATAAATATGTGGCAGCCTGGTGACATCAATTTATGCAAACCATAAATGCTGGCATGATAAGTTATAATATTGCGATTGGCCAGAGACGCATATATTACGTAATATAACCCTCTCTGGATTCTTTCATACCCATGTATAAAACCTAAAGGTGCTTTGACTGCATGGTCAAAACCATGGGAACATATACCTACGCCACTAATACGGGCACTACTTTTGTTTTCTTTACCACATAATACATTTACAATGTTAAATGAATTTGAAATTTTAGATTTGCTATTATTTTTTTTGCATGCTCATTTATTTTTTATTTTTTTTAGAACTGCACAGTGCAGGACGACAATACTATAATCAGAGTTATGAATGATAGTGATAAATAGAATCTAGCATTCATGTCCATGTCATATTGAATTTATGAAACGAGTTAAATAATTTGATATGACCCTTAAATGGCTTGTGCCATATTAAATTATTGAACTCGTTTAACAAATTCAATATGACATGGACGAAAAATGTAAGATCTTCTTCATATTTTGGAACTATATCTTTATTATCCGGTGACATGTTTTATATTTTGATCCATGAGGGGATGCAAGTTGTTCTTAAGCCAATATTACGATACCATGTATTTTTCTGTGTTTTGTGGAACCTAAACTTCATTATTTTCGATGGTTGTAGTTCAATTAGACACTCTCATTTAGCATGAGGTATGCATATTTTATTCCACAAAATATATGTTTTGTCTTTTAGGTATTACACCATACCAATAATTCCAAGACTTAAGCAGATGCTCGAGGTGCCTTTATCAGGGCTTTTGGGAAAGAAGAAGGGGAGTTTTGGGCCTTTCATGGAGGACATTCATTCAACACCAGCGTGGCATCGCTTTCAACAGCAGATGGGAACAGATCAAAGCAACCGGACTGTCGCTTTTAGTTATTGTTCTGATGGGTTTAACCCATATCACCATCAAGCCACCTCAAGGCACTACAGCATTTGGGCTCGGTCAGGAATTATCTTGAACCTACCATCTGAAGTTAGAATTAACCCACAATCGAATGCTGTTTGGATTGATAAGGGGTAAGGTTAAAGGAAACTAATAAAGATTAATAATAATATGCAAAGTGAAAATGTTGAATATGGCAAATAAAAATAATTTCCGTAATAGATTTCTCTATATGATGTTTTTTTAATATTCCGTATGTTCTTGTGTATGTTTTGTCATTTGTGTGAGTAAAATGCCATAGTATTCAGGGAATGATACCTTATCTGGGAATCCATAAATGGATTTTTTTAATTTTGAATTTGACAGGTCATGTTGATATGTCACTTTGTCACTTTCATTTGCATTAAAAATGTGTTTGAGATTCCATCAAAATGGCGGAAACGACATAATGAAATCAAATGTCGAAGGTTTTTAGGATTAAACAACTGGCCATAGGTTTCTGAATTAACTTTGTTAGTATGTAACCATTTTGAATGAAATTCCTTCTTTAACTTTTTATTATTGTAGGACCCAGCACCCCTGCTAACATTAAAGCTTTCAACCGCATCTTAGTTGATGAACTTGCCTAATTGAAGGAAGGCGTGTTACTTGCTTACGACAGCTTATCAAAGTCCTTGACGACACTGAAGGATCGAGTAATGATGCTCGTCTGTGACATCCCTGGTGCTGTGAAGGAAAAAATAGAGTGACGTACAGTAGCATGAAAGCTTGCCCTCGCTGTCACTTAGAAGGTACCACTCTAAATATATGAAAATAAGATAAAAAATGCTATGATTGTCAGCACCATTAATAATAAAAAAAAATTGAACTTTTCAAAAAGTTCTGAGGGATTTTTTTTATCTGTCTTAGGTCGCCTTAGGCAAAGCCTTCCGTTCCTTGTGGTACATAGATCTTTTGTCAATTCATAATAAATTTCAGTGTTTGATTTGCTATATTCGGCTATTCCTGATGTCTTACTGCTGTCTTTGTTTCATTTTTCCCAGGTGAGCATAGCTCAATACTTGACAGGGTGGTATTTTTAGGCAGTCACAAGTTCCTTCCTGTTGACGATAGTTTAAGACATCAGAAAGCTTTTCCTTCTCGCAAAGAAGAGAGAGAGACCATTCTCCTAAGGAAAAACCAAGAAGAGCTTGCATACTCCATGTGTCGCGACTCCTTTAAAGTGCACTGACTGACTGGGTAATTATTTTTGCTATAATAATACCTTGGAAAGAGAAGGTTTGGTTGATACGTGAAATCTGTGAAATCACAGGTTATGTACCTTTGTGCTATCTTTTAATGCTTTTGACCAAACTACTATTATACTGTCATCATTTTAAAATATTAACTTGCAAATCAATTACTGATGTGATTAGTTTCAAAATGATATTCAATCATTGCATTATATTTTGTATTTGATCATTTTTATACGCCCGTCGAAGACGGGGACGTATTATGTTATCACGTGAGCGGGCGGGCAAACGATGTCCGCTCGATATCTCGAGTAATTAATTATGGATTAACCTCAAACTTCGCAACAAGGTTAATTACCATGAAACCTCGGACAAGTTCGATAACCGCCATTATCCAACCATAATTTCTGGAGTTATGCCCCTTTACTTGCCGAAACAGTGTCCGCTCGATATCTCGAGTAATTATTAACGGATTAACTTCAAACTTCACAACAAGGTTAATTACCATGAAACCACGGACAAGTTTGATAACCGCCATTATCCGACTGTAATTACTGGAGTTATTACCCTTGGTTTCATTAATGCGATGCATGCGTTCCATGATGTTGTATTGCACTCATTGATCTACCAGTTATGTTGAATGATTTCTCTTTTAATATCAATTACTCACAAATACTTCATATATTTCAATCATACAAACAACTGCTCATTCAATGTGTGACGGGCGTATTATATACCGCTCGCGATAACCTTGTTTATTTTAAAGAAGCATTAACGTTTTGTGTCGCCTGTGAAAGCTGGTGACACATAGGTATTGCTATGTCGGCGTCGGCGTCCGCACAGAGGTTTTCGTGCGATAACTTGAGTTTCCTTGGGCCGATCAAACTCAAACTTCATGTAGTGCTTCCTTACCAAAAGTGCTTGCTTGGGATTGCTTTTCAGGTCCAAAGGTTAAGGTCAAGGTCACTGTTACTTTAAATAGAAAATCTGTTTTCGTGCAATTTCTTGAGTTTCTTTGGGTCGATCAAACTCAAACTTCAGGCAATGCTTCCTTACCAAAAGTGCTTGCTTGGGATTGCTTTTCAGGTCCAAAGGTCAAGGTCACTGTTACTATAAATAGAAACTTCACTAAAACTGTATACTGGGCGGCTTCAATCTAGTACCACTTGACCCACCGTGTATACCTCTGAAATGCCGTCTTACTCCAAATGTTATTGACAACACTAGCTGTTTAACATCATAATTCACAAGTTTATTCATTTATTTATGGGAAACCATCCGACAATTCATACAAATTAAACTTGGAATTGAGACGATGAGTATCCATAGCAAGTTCCTTAAAACTCAGAGTATTCTTCCCAGAATTACAGATTATATAACAAAATGATGCCATCCAAAAACATTATCTATGATTATTGCTTACTTTTAACATTATTTCTTGAAATGAAAAGTGTGTCTATTTCTTCGTAATCTCCCAGCTTCCTGCGCAGGCGACACATCCACTTCCGTGGAATTCTTGTTATTGCTTGTTTTTGTTAGGACGCGTTCAGCTAAAGACGCCTTACCCGCTGCTCCATTAACCCTTTCTAAGGAGGAGGAAAAAGAGAAAGCCAATGGAAGACTAAAGATGGTCAAAGTCCCGATAGACTTTGACGACATGCCAACAACCCTGTTCACTAAAACCTATGGCATGAAGAGCCATACACACATGGATGAAGGTACTTTTTCTTTTTTATATAACCTGTCAACATGTTTAGGTATGTTATGGGTGAATATGTCTGTCTATACCTTTGTTGCAACAAGATAACTTGCTTGAATATCTGAAGACTTTGATGTTTAGTAAGTATGTATGTTGCACAAATACTAAGATTAATTTAAAGATAAGCTAATTTTGCTTAATCATAATGAGCTACATGCTTTAATCAACATTGACACTTGTTGAGTTTCAAGATTAAAAACTGTTTATTTTTGATGAAATTTGGTAAAGCATGTACAATATGCAATGGTGGTTTCCATAAAAATAACAGAATATGACCTTGTTCAATAATTTCCTACAGGTTGTAAGTTAGCAATTGACCAAAACTTTTGCTTCATTAAATCTTGCTCTAATATAATTGGTCTATGTCTATGTTTCTTAACCTAATATGACTCGAGTTTTGATGAAACTTAGTCAATATTCTTATAACACCTACAGCAGCAAAGTTAGGTGGTGGAATCTAATTGTCTGTCCATCTGTCTGTCAAAAGACACAATTTGGTCCCCACAACTCCTCCAGCACCTGTCAGCCAAATTTCTTGAAACTCCACTGATATAATCAAAACACTGTCAAGTTGTGCACCTGTGATTGAAATTTAAATCGATCAAATTTTGGAGTTATTTCCCTTTTTTATGTAAATTAACTCCTTCATTTTAAGCTGAGTTTCATGAAACTTGACTGATCCTGCAAGTAATATTTTAATCCATCTATTTCTATTGGAGCTATGACCCTTACTTTTAGAGAGAAAAAAATGTTTCCACTACTCCTGAGGGTCCTAAAGTAATGAAAACACTTTGTGTGAGATTTGCAACACAAAACCCATATGTCGAGAGAATATAAATAAAATACATCAATTGGTGTTACCTCCCCTTTGTTTAAAAACTAAGAACAACCACAAAATATATGACTTAATGTTGGAGATCATGATAATGCGTAATTTTTAAAACCAATAACACAACAAAATTTACATTGTTTTAGATCTTCACAACTGGAATGCTAAGGTACATTCTACGTGATTGCCTTGGAACAATTCAAAGACATACATTGTTTATGTTCTTGAAGTGCCTCAAAGAACTACATGAACACAAGACAGCTGTCCATGTCAGCCATGGATAGGATTGAAAGCACATGGTATCAATCCCTGGCATTGATGGAGAGAGATTTTCCGTGTAGTATTCAGGTAAATACTTTTGCATTATTAGGATGTCCTGGAACAAGTGTAAATTACTAAATTATGGTAAACAGTTTCAGTCTCCAGTACAATGAATTGAAAATTTCTTCCTATTACAAGAGAGTAAGATTCTATAAATGGAATGATATAATCTAGGTTCTCGATGAAATACAAGAAAGACTTGCACTTCTTGAAAATATTTTTTTTATTTCCTTCTAAGTATAGCTTGTTTGGGGCTTAAATTGTACTCTTTCGACTTCAATTGAAAAAAAGTCTTGTGCCTGACTTTATACAGAGTTGTCCTTTATTTCATTTTTAGGTCACCTGAGCTTTAGCTCAAGTGACCTATTGCTATCCGTCTATGTCTGTTGTCGTCCGTTAACATTTTACATTTTCAACTTAAGCTGAAATACTGGCAAAGGGATTTCATTCATATTTCATGGGAAGGTTACTGACATCTCCATGACCAAGTGTTGTTATTTTTCGTGTCAATCAGAAATCCAATATGGCCTCCATTTTGAAAAATTATTTCAAACTTAAAGTCAAGTTCTACTTGGGTGATTGAACTGAAACTTAATAGGAATGATCGACTCATGGTCCTGACAAAGTGATGTTATTTTTTGGTCGATCAGAAATTATCCAATATGGCCGCCATGGCAGCCATTTTGAAAAAAACAATTTCACACTTAAAGTCAAGTTCCGCTGGGCCAATTGAACTGAAACTTTGTAGGAATGATCGACTAATGGTCCTGACAAAGTGTTGTTATTTTTCAGCTCAATCAGAAATCCAATATGGCCGCCACGGATCAGCTCATGGTCCTGACAAACTTAAGTTAACGTTATACTTAACAATTTTTTACTCAAATTGATACATATTTCAACAACAAAAATAAATACTGTAGGACTCGGGTGACCGTTAAGGCCCATGGGGCTCTTGTTGAAACTGAAGCATAACTTTTATGCTACTTCATCTACATTTTACATTATTTATAGACTAATATTGCTTGCAATACTTTCTATTTTTAAGCCGCTCTTGGCGAGATCTGAGCGGCTTATTAATTCTGTCCAGAGAACGAAATGACGGACCCACTTCCGTTCGAGGTGCGTGCGCATAATTCAGTATTGCATGCTTCCGCTATATAGTTTCGTTATCGTAAATAGAAAGTAGAATCTCTGACACTCACCTGTGGGTTACATAAAGTCTTCTGATACTCTTCTCCAAATAATAATCCATACTTTAAATAATTGCTGAAAACAAAATGTTTATCTCCGGTACATTCTACGATTGTTGTGGTGGTGAAATTGGTGCACTAGGTTTGAGCGTTTTAGCAACTTGGATTGCGGTCTGGGGAGTGTTACGCGTGTGAAACACATATGATTCGAGAAAGCACATGTGAAGACTGTCAAGCATTGACGCTGTCTGTAGAAGGAAGAAGTAAATATATAAACTTATAAACCGTATGAGTGATGAAGTATAAACTCTATTTTGATGTTTTAAACGGTAACGTATATATGCCATATCGTGCTTAGGTTGATAACGGTAGACTAATGGCTCCGAGACGAGACGATATGTGAACTGTGTATGCTTATCAAACATTTTTGTAACACAGCATGCTATTTCTGTTGTATTTATTTATGAAAGTGTAACAATTTAAGAACATGACACAACTGCCGCTGCTGTTTGACAAGAATTCGCGCAGTGTCAAAATAGATCCAATTGGGTGTAAGGGAAATAACTCTTACGTTGGTAAAGTCGCATTGGGAAATATAATTCAAATATATTCCAAGAACATTTGTGAGATTTTGTATATTCAATGACGGTAAATATAGTCGCTACAAATATTAATAATTTTCACTAATATGATTGAAAAATAAATAAGAATAAAAGGAGTACAATGTCTCTTTTCTCCATGCATGTTTTCCCACTACTGTTAATTATCCTTCATTTCACAAGCAACAAATGCACCTATTCTTTATTATCCATTCACCGATTGCCATTCTTTGAAAATCCTATCATGTCACATCTACAACAATGCGTCACACTTAAAGAGGGTGAAAAAAGAAGAGAGGGAGAAATGTTTTTAAGGCATCATTTAAGAGGTGATTGATTTTGAAAATCCTAAACGAAACATCATCAGATGACCTGATTTTCAATTAGCAGAATACAGAACACATATCTGAGTTATTATAGTAGATTTTTATGCTCAACGTGTCACTGAAGCAATTAAATTTAAAGTGGTGAGCGGCTGTAATGTCACACTGACATAATTCTAGTTTCTGATATTTTGTGGGATGGGGCTGTTAAGTTAACTTTAGGCTCACATAATTGTTTATAAAAAGTAAGCTTTTTGTTTCAGGGTGCTGTGATGCATATAATGCACCATCTACCTCATTATCTGAGGAAATTTGGACCCGTGTCCAATTTCTGGATGTTCCCATTTGAGCGGCTCGACTCCACACTCAGCAGAGCCATTGGCAGTGCAAGATATCTAGAGCTTGCAGCTGTCAAACACATGAAGGTAATCAGAATTTGAATACATTATAATAAAATATTCATCTTTTAAATTCTTTTAGTCTTTCCTTACAAGTTAATTATTGTCTGCATAAGATCATGAGAATTCAAATGAATTTTATTTGTTAAATAGTTTTCCCACATTTTTGAAATTGCATATATTTTTGCTACAAACACAGAAATATGTATAGAGCTGTTCAGTATACATGTTTGGATTGCTGGTAGATAAGTTGGTGTGTTGTGATTAAAATCTATAGAAATGTTACAAACCTAGGTTGACTGGTAGTATGTAGATATATTATGTAAAATGAAGGTGTTCATATTTACTGTTGTTACTTAATAAGTCTGTATCCAAATTGAATTAAAAAGAGTATCTGATGTTATCCATTTCTTAACTAATTCATACCAAATTTCATCAGTTTTTGAAATATGTAGTAATTTTTATTGTTATTCTATCAAGAGGTCATGGTCAATGCACTTAAATTTTGTCTTACAAAACAAAATTGTAATATTTTTCTTTATTATTGAAATTCTCATATTTGTTACAGATCCAGTGGATGATGAGCATGCTGCAGGCTGCTGGATAGCTTCCTCCTGCTAAGAAACTTGCGAGTGATCAACCAAGCCATATGGAGACCCAGATGACTGTTGGAAGGATATCAAGTAGGAACATGACTCCGGAGGAACTGGGTCACACCAACAAGTTGTACCAGCAGATGGACATCTCCAGAGGACAAAACAGCATGGTCACTGTCCACCAGTATGCCAGAAAGTTCATCCCTAGATAAGGCAACACTGTCACATACAGGGCTGCTCCACTGGAACTTAGAACAATCCAGAAGTCATCTATAGTGTGATATGCGGCTCAATGAGGGTCATGTATTGGTCAGGTGCAGTACTTCTTCAGCCATGACAATGGGGACACTTTGTACCACTTTGCTTTGACTTTAATAGTGGACCAAAATTAATGTTTCTTGTGACTTTTTGTGGACTAAATTTCCTGTGTTCTTGTGACAATTCTTTATGTACCTAAGTACCTGGTTTTTTTTTTTTTACCTTTGAACCTATTTCTCAAAAATGTGATGACCTTCATTATTTCACTATTTGCCAACTTGGTTCTATCTCAATTAGGATTTCATGTGCAAAGGACCTACACCTATTAACTTATTTTTACTAATGTGTGCAGATGATCTAGTTTTGTTAGCTGATTTGGCAGAGGGATAGCAAAAAATGAATCAAAAGTTTCATTGTTAAAATACACTAAAAAATGGAATTAAACTATTAACGTTGAAAAAAACCAACATCCTGGTTTTTAGAAATTGTAGTACATACAGTTTGAAAGAGGTAGCAAAGTGGTTTTACAATGGTTATGTTTTAGAAGAAATATTTCAATATTGAAAGTTCACTTAGCATTTTTTGATACTTTTGTGTGCTGCATCCTGAACTAAAGAGCTAAAGTTTTGGGCTATCACAAAGCACCAGATATTGAGAAAATACATTTTAGTTTTTGTGAAAGATATTTTGGCGGGTAGGAAAAGCACACTTAATGTTAGATTTACCAGGAAATAGGGAGACTACCTTTACATATGAGTAGAAGATTTTGAATTTTCAAATATAAGCTTTTTAAAGGCCCGTATATATGATGAGATTATTGAAAGGGGCAGTGACAATACAAAAGTATTATTTAGGTTAGGAATATTTATGGCAAACAGGATGATGAAGGTCAAATTCTGAACATCATTAAATGTAGATGCGTGACATTTTTCAACAGGAGTGTTTAGATTTGATTAATTCATTTGCTATATATGTGTTCTCTTTATAAATTTATCTGCAGTAATTTTTGTCTTCAACAGTATTTAATTAAACCTATTTGTTCACAAACTATTAAACAAGCTGCTAAAATTTGGGTGTCATCACATATGTTAAATACTGAAACTGATAGATTTCACAGTATTTAAGGAAAGATGACAATGTTGAAGATGAATTTATTTTTTTGTTAAATGTACTCATTATACTTTTATTTAAGAAATGTTTCTTTATAAAATATTTTGGCATAACAAAAATAATAAAGAGCAGTCTAATTAAGCACAATTTCTGAGCGACAGTCAAAAAGGGAGATTCAATACTGTTCAAGCTGAAAAGAATCGCTCTAATTTTATCATGTAGGCATGGTCTGAGTGTTGTATTATTCGTTTGTATATAATTTTGAAATATTTGCACTATATATATGCATTTCACTGATGAACCAGAAGGTTTAAAGTTATAAAGAATGAATGAAGGTACACCCCAAACACTGGTACACACATAATCTTACCATAGTCAGAACCCCATTTGATCCCCAACGTACAAACATTTACTCTGGCAACATGCACTCACTTGCACAAACATACTCGCCACCTAATCCCCATTTCTTCCCACACTAACC